AGCGGGCCAAATGCAGCCCAAGGCAGCCGCTGAGAACTCACTCCTGGATTTGGAACTCAGAAAACACGAGCCAGGGCTGAGGATTTAGCTCAGTGGTTCCGTCGCCTGCCTCGCAAGTGCAAGGTCCCGAGTTCGATCCCTGCTACCAAAAAAAAAAAGAAAAGACGAACCCAGGACCAGCCAAAGTCAGAGGGAGGGCTGGGGATGTCGCTCAGTGGCGCTGCGCCTTCCAAGCACGCCAAGGTCCTGAGTTCGATCCCCGGTACCAAAAAAAAACCAAAACCAAGTCAGAGGGCAAGGAGCAGTAAGGGTATTGGGAAATATCAGTGGGGAAAGGTGTGAATATTTGTTAACTGTTGAGTAAAGCTTTTTATGATGTCATTTGCTCTTTCTAACAGCCCTGTGAATAGGAGATCTTTGTTATAATACTGCTCGGTAAGAAATTCAAGTTTTTGAAAGATGACTCCATTCTTGTTTTTTTTGGTACCAGGGATCAAACTCGGGTCCTTGCACTTGTGAGGCAGGAAGCAGAACCATTGAGCTAATCCCTGGCCCAGATGACTCCATTCTTTCTGGGTGCCTCTGCACCTGCCATGTCCTGCAAAAATCCCAATATGAATTTCGCATTCTTGCTTCTGAAGAGTAACGCTAAGCTTTGTTTTGTTTTGAGACAGGCTCTTGTTATGCAGCCCAACTGGCCTTGAATGCAAGATCCTCCTGCCTCAGCCTTCTGAGTACTGGGATTACGGGCATATGGCACTCGCCTGGCATGCTAAACTATTATATAATGTAGAAAGCAATGACCACTCCATGCCCTGTTACTCATCTGATGTTAAGATATTTAGTTCTTTGTTTCTACTTATATATATGCAGTGACTGAGTTCGTCATAAAGCATTATCAGCAGATATAAAATATTTTGATGGCATCTAAGAATATTAAATTTAAAAACATATAAACATTTCAAATTTACCACTACTTTCATGCTTCTGTGTGCCCCTCCGTGTGCAGGCGTGGGAATGAAATTAACACTTAGATGTGGCTTCCTGGGTTGAATTTTCACCCCTTCCTGTGGCACTAGAGAGGCTGGGCAATAGAGGTGTGACAGACTCAAGGCCAGACAGGAAGTAAGGACACTGCACCCCACTGAGTTGTCACTGAGCCCCACAAGTACAGGCCCCATCCCCTTTGCCGTCCAAGGCTGTGCTGAGAGCCTCCCCTCCCCAAGAGTCTGACTCATCCTCACCTCTTGAGCCTCTGAGGCCTCGAAGGCAGGTGGTGCCTCACCTGTGACCTCACAGGCCAGCACCTGGACGCCTGGGGTGTCCTCGCCCCTCAGGAAGAAATCGGAAGAGTTCAGTAACTCCTAAGGGTCATAAGGGAGGGAATAGCTGTCCCAAGACTCGAACACAGCTCCTGAGTGCAGACCCCAGGGGCGCTTTCTCATCCAGGCCTCTGGATCACCCAAGGGCAGCGACACTCTCCAAAGGGTCTCTGCAGATCACCTGGCGGATTTATGGGCAAAGGACTTGGGAAAACCCTTAGATGACTGACTTGAAAATGACATGAAACGATGAAAAGGTTATAGCTCTTTGCCATGAAAAGCCGCGAGACAACAACCTTGGCAAATGAATACAGCTGAGGGAGATGAAATACTCCTTTTAAGCTTTTACTGGAGCAGCACATTGAAAGTATCCCAAACGTCAACTTAGATCCGTGAATCAAAAAGGAGATTAAGGCTGCGCCTGCTGCCTGTCCCCACGCAAATTATAACGGGGCAGGAGTGGAGGAAGCGGGGTGCTGAGATGTCAGCTGGTTTCCAAAGCAGTGGCTGATTAGGCCCCAGGGCACCAGGGCCAGGCAGGGTAGGGTCTCCAGAAGCCGAGGAGGGGCTCTGTCTGCCCGGTGATCTGTCTTACGAGCACACTTAGTTCCCTGCCCTGAGTGACTCAGCTGCGGATTCTCCCCAGTCCCCCCCAAAAGCTGCACACCCAGGTCCTCATTCCCCACCACATCCCACAGCAGGTGCCGCTGGGCAGCGCCCCTCGGAATGAGGATGACTTGGGGTGCACAGGGAAGACTGGGAGAGGTAAAAACAAAACACACAGAACCTCGTGCATGTTTCATATACATATTTATATATATTTCATGTACAAAGTTACATTCCGAACCCCATGGATTCCATAATAGAAATAAATACTGAAATAACTACATTGCTAAATGAGCTTTCTGCTCACAGAAATGAAGTCTCAGCCTCTGGGAGACAGCAAGTGGGGCACTCTAGAGCCCAACTGCAGAGGCGAGTACAGTCTGGGTAAGATGCCTAGCACAAAAACACATTTAGAACGTAACGGTTAAAATATGTTTGAATATTGAGAAATGTAGGACAAATTACTAAACTTTGAAGAGAAAGAAAAAGACATTTAGTGTTACAGAATAGCATAACCCTGTTAGAAAAGCATGTATGATTTCCACATTTTTTTCTCTCCCCCTCTTCCCACGTGAGCAAAGTGGGACCCGTATGTGTCCCTTTTCCAACATGATCCATTAAGAAGACCGAAGCCCGGTTCGGTGCTTTGGTAGCAGTCGTAACTCAGGTCCTGGGGGCCACCAAGACCCTCACTCTTGAGGCCAGCGCCACAGTGAGATGCTTGTTTTGCTGTTTGGTTACTGCAGCAGCCTGTGTCAGTCCCTTCCCACATGTGGAGACCTTACAGGAGATGAACACTGATGCAACCCAGAGAATGTATTTTAACCTTGTCTATGTGAACACATTCCATCTTTCTTAAACGTCGTGTTGCATGTTTTGTGCTAAAAATGTTTTACACTCTCAAAAAGCTGCAGCTTTTAAGATATTCATTCCTATTTTAGCAATTTAGCTCCACATGGGTTAGAGAAAAAACCCTCAACTGAGTTCCTAAACAACACTCTCCCTTTGCTGCACGCAGACACTAACCCACATCTGCCAGTAACTATCAGGCTGTGGCACAGACACCATTTGTGTAGATCAGCAAAGGCAGGACACAGCTAACTTCACAGCCTGGAGCAAGGCTAAAGGTCAGCATCCTGGTTTTTTCCAACAGGGCCTTCACGGGGAGAGCAAGCTGAGATGTGCAAGCCTCTCTCTGGCCCGACACGGTGGCTACGGGCAGTTTAGACCAGCTGCTTGTGAGGAGCTGACACTGTGCCATCTTTCCCAAAGGTCACCACCTTGACCAAAGTGAACGCTGCAGGGACACGAGCCTGTTACCAGGGGAAAGAGGGAGGGAAGCGGCTGGAAAAAAACTTAACCTAAGTGCAAAGCTTCCAGACAGACTATACAGGCAGGCTGTCCACTTGGGTGCCAGATGAACAGGACTGCAGGTAGTCTGGCCTGTTTAGGTAGGACACACACCTTACTCCCCCAGGCAGGGCCGGCGCGGGCACAGGGAGCAAGCACAACCACCGTAAGGTGTCCACACTGCATCCTCAAGCGCTGGCTCCCTAAGTTCCACACGGGCACATGAGCGTGCAAAGGGCTTGGGCCACGGCGGCCAGGGCATGGCTCAGGGATGCTGACTTCTTGGGATTAAAATTTCCAAACACGGCTGGGGATTTAGCTCAATGGTTTTGGCACCTGCTGCGCCAACGCAAGGACCAGAGTTTGATCCCTGGTACCAAAAAAAAAAATAAATAAACACTTTGGCGTCTCCTTATGAATGGATACATTTCCAACAAATGTTTAATAATGCTTTTTTAAAGTATTGCCAAAAAGGGCTCTAACTTTAAATAAAATCATAGCAATTAAGCTATGGAAAAGTGGCCTAAGTTTTGTGCCGTGAAGAAAAGTGACTAGGTTTAAGGAAAACATTATCTTCCAAACATAGCTTTTGTGAAAGGTTTTCTTCTAAAATATACAGCAGCCACAATTTTGCTGTGTACCTAATGTGCTTATAGACGCATGTGGCCAAATGGATCTGAGGCCTCCCTGGCTTATTAAATCCATGTAGTTTATACTCCAGCCTTAGTACGTATACGCGTAAAAGTCACAGTATCCACTTTACAGATGTTTTTATAGAATAGTTCAGAAAAAATGAAATCCCTGGCATTTACGAATGCTTAGACAGCAGAGACCTGTGTTTGTGATCTTTTCTTGGACACCCCTTCCAATGACTAGGAGGACCTTTTTCCTACAGGTTTATATTTTTAAAATAGCACACAAAGTTATACTTAGCTTTGCTTTGAGTATCGGATAAGAAATGGTACAGCACACATTTCAGGAAGTATGAGAGGGTTAAAACTACAGCATCATGATTTTTTAAAACTTACTGAACAAGGGCCGGGGATTTAGCTCAGTGGTTCTGCCGCCTGCCTTGCAAGCACAAGGTCCCGAGTTCGATCCCCGGTACCAAAAAAAAACCCCAAAAACTTACTGAACAGGAGAATCAGTTAAACCCAGACTCAAATCTGTGTGAAGAGGACATTGTGCGTGAAGAGACGCAATGCCAGCCTTGGCTTATTTGCAGCATCTTGGCCGTCACCTTCTCCTTCAGTTTGTCCATTTGGTGGCATTTTAAGCCTAAAAGGGAGTGAATGTGAAGTGAGTTATTTACATCTGGAGGACCAAGTGTGAGCTGTGTGTTAGTTTTGTACAGAAGAGAACTTCCTGTCCCCGCTCCTCAGTCAGGCTGGACTCCGACTTCATCCCCACCATGGTGTCGCTGTTGCTATCACTGGCAGCCATGCGCGGCCCAGGAACATTTGGCAAACAGGTGCATTTTTACATGAAAGAAAGCCAAAAATGAACCAACCACCACCGTCCTCTGGTACACGGTATACAAAACACGATTCCTTTATAAAACTCTTCCCAATGCCGAAGCGTCTTCTAAGTCTCTCCAGATCTCTTCTAAGCTTTATAAATAATAAGCCTCTCAAACATGTCAGTATGGAAATGAGTGCAACTAGTTATAAAAAAAAAGAATAATATTCAGAGAAGCAGGCCTTATAAACTTTACAGCTCTAATAAAACAGAAACAGGAAATTTTTATTTAAATAGTGTAGTCTTAATTTCTTTAATATAAAACCCCCCTAAAATCTGATGAAAACAAAGTTTTATATACCATATAAACAAGATTTGTCAGATTTGAAAGTGAAGTTAATTTACAGTTAGTTTTTAGCCCTCTTGGGACAGTTAGATAAATCCTGATGACCCATCTGCTATTAGTGTGTGTCAATTTTATAATACACTGGGGAAAACTCTTGCTATTGTACTGAATGGCACAGTTTCATTTATCAATGTTTCCCATCAATTCCATTATTAGTGACAGCTAAAAAGTGACCCATCCAGTGAGTGAGTGACACGAGACTGTGGCCGGGCAAGCACATCGGGTTGCTTTCCTGTAACCCACCAGTTTGCAGAAAATCAACGTTCTCTGGTTTGTTCGTAATATACTGACATTGCCTATAACACTGGTGTGGCAGGACAGCTAGCTCCTCCATACTGAATGGCAGGACAGGTTTTGTAATATAAAGTTAACAGGAAAAAATGCTCACACCTTATGTGGTGAAACTTATGTCACAAAAAGAGCATTAAATAAAGAGAGAAAGGTAAAAGAAACCATGCAGAAGAGACGGTGTCCATTCCAGCTGTTTCCAGGCTCACTCGCTGCCATACATCACTTGCCACACGATCAAGTGGCTCCTTTCCGCTTTGGTGACAGAAGGCTCCAGTGGAAGGTCCTCTCCGAGAAGTTCTGATTCTCCACCTTCATCACCTAGCGAGGAACAAGGAGACTCGAGTGAGGCTGAGGACAGAGATAGAGAGCCAGGGCCCAGACGTCTGTGAATGACACTTGAGCAAGCTGACAGATGACAGAGCCCAGGAGGAGGACACTGGCTGAAGCCCTTACCCGCTTCCACCCGGGTCGCTGCCTGGCTTCTCCAAGGCCAATGCATTTTTCTCTACATCTATAAAAGCCAGCTTACTGTATGCACCGGGAGTCACTGTGGTGGGAGTCACTGTGGTGCATCTGGATTTGATGGTAACAGAAAACGGGAAGCTAAGAAGGCAACGCGATCCCATTCTGTGCTCATCCAGAACAGACCCCTGCTCTTGCTCCCGTCATGCTTAGGCCCGGGAGCGAAGACCCAGGCAGGCGCATGTGGCTCACACCCAGAGCTCAAGGTCAGCAGCAACAGAGCTGGGTTCTCCTCAACTGATGCAGCAACGGTTCTGTCTCCCTGAGGGACCAGTCTCCTCACCTGCTACCCGGCATCCTCCCCAGGAGCCTCAGTGCAGGGCAAGTGATGGGGGAGCCCCAGTCGGAAGAGGCCAGGGAGGATGGCAGGAGCTGTGATGAGTGCAGGTCAGTCCCGCTCGGCTGGTGACGTCTTCAGCAGAAGCTTACAGCCATGAACAGCAAGGAACAAAGATACCCTAGCGACCCACTGCAATTCTGTAACGTGCTTCACCTGAACTTTAGCTGGACCAAAAAAAGGCGCTGATGCTTTCATACAGCACCAAACCACAGAGAAGCGCACTCAGGACAAAGTCAGTTTCTGACCTAAACCTGCAACATAACTGTGTGGCTGGAATGTAAAAAAATAAAAAGTTTTGCTCTTTAATGTTTTCCCTTTTTCAGGCAGTGCTGGGACCAAGCCCAGGCTTTGCTTAGGCTGTGCAGCACAGGGCACCAGGCCTGGGCTGGCTCTCGAATTTTAAGATTCCGACCAGGGCCGGGGATTTAGCTCAGTGGTTTCGCTGCCTGCTGCGCAAGTGCAAGGACCCGAGTTCAATACCCGGTACCACAAAAAAAAAAAAAGAAACAAGATTCCGACGGTAACGACTGACTGGCCGAGACAAGAGGTTGATGACCTTTGCTTTTTGAGTTGCTTTGAAGATTCTATTTATATAAAAAAAAATTGTTTTCTGGGGTCTCTACATTCTAGAATTTAAATTAAACCATTAAAAATATGGAATTGTAGGGATCAATCTCTTTGTTAAAATATTAAGAGGAAATGAAAAAGGAAATGAAATAAAACAAGATCAAATTTAATTTTTTAAAAAAGCATATTTACTATAAAAATTACCCTATGTTTAAAGACAAGTTTATTTTTCAGCCTGGATAACTAGAGATATTGCCAAATCTAGTTAAGCAATTTTTATGCTATTTCCAGGACCTGCAATGGAAGGAATTCAGTGGAAGTGGAAAAACCACACAGATTTAACTAACAAATTCCTCAGAATGGTTCTGGGGCCACCCTACAAGCCAGAATCACCCACTGCAGTTCCTTTCTACAAAGAATTCGGCAGCAATGAGGACTTAACTGAAGCTCTGAAATTACTCCTTTCCTTCGGACACCATTAGAAGCAATTCCTGATGTCTCCCACTCCCAGGACTGTGTCGGGACCTCTTGGACTCCACGCTGGGGAATGTGTACCACTACTCACAGACCCCGAATTTTACCCTCTACTCTGTTTTTTTTGAGACAGGGTCTCACTGTGTAGTTCAGGCTGACTTCGAACTCATGGCATCTTCCTGCCTTGGTCTACCTGGGTGCTGGGATTACAGGTGTGCACTGCCACACCCTGCTTACCCTCTATTCTTTTTTTTTATTTGGTACTGGGGATCGAATTCAGGACCTTGCACTTGTAGGGCAGGCAGTGGCACCACTGAGCTACATCCCCGGCCCCTCTACCCTCTATTCTTCCACAAGTCACATCTCAAACCTGAATGTGTCTCAATGTACAGCATTATACTCTCTAATGCCATTTAATACTTATGCATGGGAACTTTTTCATTTTTTTGTTTTTGAGACAGGGTCTCACTATGTCATTCAGGCTGGCCTCACACCCAGTGATCCTCCTGCCTCAGCCTCCCAAGTGCTGGGATCACAGGCGTGTGCCACAGAGATTTTCAGGCTAATGCATATGTTTATAGCAAATAGATTTATATTTGCAGAGCACTTTACAGTTCAGAGTTCCCTCCCTCCCTCCAGACCACCTGTGTCTGTCCCTTACCCCCAGGCAAACAACTGCTCTTTCCCATTAATCAGTTACCACTTCCCAAGGCTGCTCTTCTTGTCCAGGGCCGCCTAACTCACCTCCCTCTCTCTAGTCACAGGCTGTTCCTCCCTCCCTAGACTAGAAACCCACACTCCACTGCACCCCCACACCACTTCAGGGTGGTTTTGTGGAAAACCAATTCCTGGCCACGCTCCAGTCCTGCACTGACCACACTCAGTGCTGCAGCAACACCTCGGCCGCCGCTCCCCGGCCTCCCCGGCCTTCCCTCCTGATGCCCGCCTGGGAAGAGCGGACTGCCCTCGCCCTAGCTCTGTAAGCTGTGTGATCTGCTGGGGAGGCTTCCTGGGATTTGCTTCCGAATCTCAAATTTAAGGCTGACAGGCACAAAGCAGACTATAATGTTTGTAAGGTGAGAAAATGAACACAGGAAATCAATTTTGATACAAATTATACTTTATGAAGTATTTGTATTTCATTTTGCAGGCCAGAAAACTGAGGTTCTGGGGAGTTGGTTTGCTAAAGCCTCTGACTCCAAATTTTAAGCTTTTCAAATCTCAACAAATGACCATTTCCTGCTATTTCTTTCTTTTTTGGGGGTACCAGGGATGGAACTCAGGTCCTTGCGATTGCAAAGCAGGCGGCGGAACCACAGAGCTAAATCCCTGGCCCTACTCCCTGCTATTTCTAATGCTACTTCAAACAAATATAGTTTGTGTGGAGAGAAATGTGTACACAGACATACAGACGCTTTCCCAAGTAAAGAGAACGTAGAAGGCTTTATCAGAGTGGTTTCTTGTTCACCCAGCTCCGGAAGGACGACTTACCCATCCGGAAGTCGATGTAGCCCTCTCCTCCGCTGATGACCAACATAGACTTCAAGGGTGCCTGGTTGCCGGGCTCCTGGGCAGAGGGCCCTGCTTTGTCACTGGTTAGATCTGTACTACCACTGCCACTCTGTGGGCTAATGACTTGACCTGTTTTATAGGGAACAGAAGTGAATATTATTACTGATGGGGGCTGGGGGAGACTTTTTTTCTGCATTTTTTTTTCCAGAGACTTAAAAAGGTTAATATATTCTAGAGGAGTTAAAAAGGTTAATACATTCAGAAGTATCACCAAAGTACTGGAGATGCTCTGTATAAGAAAAAAATGACACGAAGGTTGTAAGAGCCCAATCTGGAAATCTTAAACAATTTATTCCTGTACTCACTGAGCAGGAATAAATCCAAAGTCCAGTGTGAGACACGTGCATGGCAGGGTGGGTCTCAGCGCCTGCCTTGCCTCCCACTGTGGGGGCAGTGGAGAGCTCTCTCCTGAGAGGAAGTGAGACAGCCTTCACCTTCAGCCCTAAGTCTACATATTTGTAATCAATATTTAAAATGACTTCAAATGCACGGTCTTCTTGTGGCTCTCCCTACCTGTGCCCGCGCGCGCGCGCCTGTGTCTGAGTACTAGGGATCCAACCCGGGGCCTTGAGCATGCCAAGGCAAGCACTCTACCACTGAGCTGCATCCCCAGCCCTTTTTTTGGTACCAGGGATCCAACTCGGGGCCTTGTGCTTGCGATCAGGCGGCAGAGCCACTGAGCTAACCACCCCCCCCAAGAGAATTTTTCGGGGGGGGTGGGGGTGCTGGGGATTGAACCCGGGGCCTTGTACTTGCCCAGGCAAGCACTCTACCACTGAGCTGCATCCCCAGCCCTTTTTTTGGTACCGGGGATCCAACTCGGGGCCTTGTGCTTGCAAGGCAGGTAGCGGCACCACTGAGCTACATCCCCGGCCCAGTTACTTGGAATCAAATGTTCATATTTTCGTGTTTTTCCTTAAGCATTTCACATACATAGAACCAGTTG